CCTCTTGCCCATCGCCGGCCTGGGCCAGTACACACTGCAGTGGCCTGGCACCTGGTGCTTCATCAGCACCGGCGACAGCCAGCTCACCGGGAGCCTCTTCTTCGCCTCCACCTTCACCGTCCTGGGGCTCCTCTCCCTCGTGGTGACGGTGGCCTGCAACCTGGCCACCATCGAGGCCTTGGTGTCTCGTTGTCGGACCAAAGCGACTGCGTCCCACTCCAGCAAGCAGTGGGGGCGAATCGCCATGGAGACACTGATCCAGCTCTTGGGGATCATGTGTGTCCTCTCGGCCTGCTGGTCACCGCTGCTGGTAGGTCGTCTTGCCGCCCGCTGTGGGTTAACCCCAGGCCTCCTCCCTCCCTTAGGGCAGGAGACAGGGTGGCCCCGGGAGCCGCCGGCCTGGGCAGGGTGGGAGGCAGCGGCAGCTCAGGTTCCTCATGGACGGTATGGCCATGAATGGCCTCTGAGGAGAGGAAGCGGGGACAGGGACAGAGCCTGGGGGATGTTGGGTGTGGAAAGCTGGTAGGAGAGAAGCTGGGAGAGGTCCAAGAGGATAGCCAAAGTGTGGCGTATTTGGAAAAATAAGACGAAGGAACTGGAGTCCTTGAGGGGACTTGAGGAATGGAGGGTCCTTGAGGAAAACAAGGGTCTTGTACAAGGAGACCGCGGGTCTGGAAGCAGGGCACTGAAGTTGGCAGTGCTCGTGGCACAGAGCCACAGGCACCGGGCAGGCAACGGGCAGATGTAGAGGGGATGGGGAGCGGCTGGCGCCGGCAGCAGGCTCCAGAGGCAGGGAGGGCACGCTGTGCTCCTGCCCGGCACATTGTACCTGCTTGCCAGCGCCGTCAGGGTCTGAAGGTGACGGGACAAGGGAACCTGCGTGTTCCTCATTTGGGGGAACCTGTGAGGGTTTATTGAGACCTTACTGTGACGGAGCCCTGTGCTTATGGGAAACAGCCATTTAGGATTTTTTACTTGCTCCCGCCTTCTAGAAAAACTTAATTCAGTGCTTTATGAGAAAAGGTACACCTTGCGACTTTGCGAGTGCCTTCTGGTTTTCGGATTGCTCACTGTATCTTATTTATGGCAACATTCTGGGCTTTTTGTTTCTGTTTTTTTTAAAGGACTCTTGCATTTCTTTCCACTATTTTGTTATTCCTCACTTACACCCTTTCTTTCTTGTCAAACTGGGGTAAACCCCTCCTCATGATTTAGGAGTGGAGGAGGCTGAATCCACATCTCTTTCTGCCATGTGGGACAAGGGCACACCCGGGAGTCCAGTACCCCATCTAAAAAGGCCAGCTTGTTCTGCTGTCAGAGGACAATATGATTTTTGGAAAGTTTGTACTTGTGATGCATAAGCAGGAAAGGGCTGAAGCTAGCTATGGTAATTCTGAAGTTATGTGAAAGGTACTTTATGGCCGGAGAAGGATTTTTCTTTCTTCCTGTGGTCAGAGAACTCGAGCTCTCGTTAATGGGGCTGTAACAAGAGGAATGGCTGACAAAGCTAACAGCCCATGGGGATGAGGTAAAAACAGAAAACAAATTAATTTAATTTAGTAATGTTATCCTTGTAAATTCATTAAAATGCTGTCAAATCTCCAAAATAACCCCACTCAAAAATAGTAAGTCAGAGGCTGTAAGTTAACTTTCTAGAGATCATTAACAGCTTGTGACGAAAGTAAAATATGAAATCACACTGAAAATTTAGTAAGAACTTGAGAGCAAAGAGTAACATTCTGCTCCTCAAACCGCAAGGAATGTTAGATTTGGTAAGGTAAACCGGGAGACTGCCCGGTCACTGCTGCTGCGTCTCCGTGCATTGATTGCCTGCAGCCTAGCCATTTTCATTGCTGTGGCACGTCCTGCTGTCCCGCTGACACGTGCGGTTAAGGGGAGACACTAGGATTTCTTTGTTTTACAGAAGTTGCATGCTTGTCCATAATTAAACAGATGAAAAAATTAGAAGGCATTTATTAAATGAAGGAAGTATGTTTGCTTCAGCCCTTGCTTCTGCAGTCTTTCCATGGGGAAGCAGGTTCTGCCCTGCCCTCCGCAGCCGAGGCGGCAGGAGCCATGCTGCTCCCTCGGCCAGCCCGGGGGCCATGGAGCTATTGCACCTGAGGGTTTAACCAGCCTTGTAGCATCGAGAGAAAACCCCTGAGATGAGGGACACTTTTTCTCTTCCTTCAGAACCTGAGTACTCAGAAAAATCAGTGGGGATGCAGGAATCCCTCTTGGTCGTTTGCTTCCTGTGGCATTTTTGCAGATTTAACAGTCGGAAGTCAAACCGATCCAGCTGCCCCCACTCTACTGAATGGATCTGTGGGAAGTGTTAACAGGATGAGTTAACGGAGCAGAGCCCAGGTCAGAGAGCCCGTTGTAAACAACACTGACACCTCCAGAAAATGCTCGGGGAGCTGGTAAGAGAGGGCAAGGGCTTCTCGGAGGTGAACTGACTCCATGGCGAGGAGCCTAACTCTTCTGAGTCAGAGGCAGGACCGGTTGAAGAGATGCTGGTTGGCAACGCTTTGCATGCGTTTTACGATCATGTGGAGGACTGCTGCCCCGCTGGGTGACACAGCCGTAATCCAGAGTGAATTTGTCAACTGTTCACTTCCCTGTGCGGCAGCAACGCCTGAAAGCATATAACTTGTTCTGTAGAGTTCTGCAGAACTTCTCTGTCTAGTCAGCATATTCTCCATATTCTCGAAATCTAAGTCATGACTACAGAAGCATATTTATATATACACTTCAACATTTTCTGTATAACTACAAAGTACGAATTAGGAATAAGAGGCCAGATTTTTGGAAGAGTGACTATGGAGTAATGCAAGTGCATTTTCAGTGAAAGCCAGGTTGAAGAACTCATTTCACCTATAGCTGCATCATTTAGCAGTTGTAAGAAATTTAGTTGAAAGAGGAATCCAGGGATTTTCAGAGGAGATTTTTGTTTTTTTAAAAAAAGAAATCTGAGTTTTATAACTGAGAACTAATGGATTCTGACAGCTATTACTATTAGGCAAACAATGCCCTTTTACACAGACAGTATTTTTAGACTTGATCTGTTGTTGAAAATAACAAAATCAAATGTGATTTAACAGAAAAGTGGAACTTCTGACAGTAGTGGCTGTGCTCTAAACAGCTTCATGAAGCGTCCTGCTTTTTCTTGATTTATGCTGGATTTGGTAGAAGAGAGGAAGTGCATACATAACGCAGGCATTGCCTCCTTTTGTTGTGCACTCAGGATCTTACTTGAATTCAGCATGGAGAACCTGGGAGAATGCTCCACTTAAATAAGATATTGCTTTATCATAAGTAGTTTCCAGTTCACACTAATCTTCTGTTTATTTTGGTGCTCAGTTGAACTAAACTGACAGCAGATTGAAGTGAGTCTGAAATAGAGGAAGCTATTCCTTGATTGCACAGAAACACCACAAACTGGAATTCTCATACTAATTCTTTTAGAGCTCCAGGCTACAAAATTACTCACTCACAGAGTTGTTTCAAGGCTATTTAAAGCCAAAATGCTCAGGTATTCTGCGTTTCCTATTAAAAAACTTCTTCTCCTTAACCCTCCTGTCAGACAGAAATTAAAAACATTCTCCTTTACAGGTATTTTTATTAAAAATATATTATTTTGTAAAATTCTTAGATGTGCAAACATAGTTATGGAAAGCACCTTCACTTAGAGAGAAAAAAAGACAGTGATATCACTGAGCTGCAAGGAAAATAGATGGCTCCTTTTCTATGAACTCTTCCCACTAATGCTCTGCTTCCATCTGAGGCTGAAATAGCCACCTCTTTCAAAACTGCCCCAGCGTACTGATCATTTCAGTTTGGCCAGAAGACTGGATTTTGCTGCACTGTATTTGTCTAGATAAGGTCACAACCAAGTGGTAAAAATTAGACCACATTTGTTGGCATCCTGCTAGACTTTGATGGGACCTTGTCATGATTCCCTGCATTATTATCCTTCTGTAAACATGTTGTTACTAAAATCCTCAGCCTTCTCCAGTAATTCTCCGAGAGGATTGCGAACGATTTCATACGTTTCTCAGAAACAGAGAAGTGATTTGCTTGAGGTTGCTCTGCCAGCAAGTGTCCTGCGGGGTGCCGGTGAGAGAGCGCTGCACGCAGTGCTGCCTGCGCACGTGCCAGATGTGCGGTGCTGCCGTGCAGGAAGCAGCACGGCCTTGATGCGGAGCCATGGACATATTGATACCTCTTCCCAGGACATATTGATACCTCTGTGGTCCGTGCACAGCAGGAGGTGTTGCACTGCCCTACTGCAAGAAGGTTGCTAATAAAGATAGATCATAGGTGCCGTATAACTTAGACCCTTTCTGGATGACTGTCAATTCTGGATGAGCAGCTGCAGTGAGGGGGTGAACCAGGGTTAAGGTGGTGCGGATGCCAAACGTGCCCCTCTGTAGTCTAGTTGGCTGGACTTGTCTTAGCTTTGCCTGCGACAGGCAGTGTTTCTACTTTAAAAAGAAATCCACGTCCATGCTAGGCAATGGGGAGTTCTCCTTCAGAGGTCCACAAGCCAATGTGGCCCTGTAATGGCATTTGGTCTGCTCGAACTGAAGTCTTTCGTTCTGCTGCAGCTTCAGCAGAGGCAGCGGAAGAGAGTCCTAAAAATTTAATGAGGCAAAATTACAATTTTAATTTTAAAACAAGATGGTACGTGACTATATGGAAGTATTTAAAAGACGTGTAGATGAGGCGCTTAGGGACATGGTTTAGTGGGCATGGTGGTGTTGGGTTAACGGTTGGACTTGATGATCTTAGAGGTCTTTTCCAACCTTAATGATTCTATGATTCTATGATTCTATAGGTATTGTTAGTCATTACAAGGAAAAATCATATCCTCTCCATTGTGGCTTTCCATGGTTCACTCACCACAGCCACTATTTGTATTTCATCATGAGAATCCTCTGTTCCTTCTATGGCTCGCTTCTTCATGTGTGAGGGAATTATTTAAGCAACAGATTAGGGCTAGTGGGAGAGGAGAAGCAGTGTAAAAGGATGAATCCTCCTGTCTTCATGATGCATAGAAAACATGTTTGCTTTTTTGGAAGCTATCTCAAGAAAAGATTTTGCAGTCTGGAACCAGGAATTTCACATCGGATTCTTACCCCACGTTCCAGACCAGCTACTCAGCTCTTGCTTGGCTGAAAAATATGCACCTTTAAGCACATCAACTCTGTTATGCTCCATCTTTTACTGCAGATAGCAGCAGGTTCCAACATAGTTTGTAAAATTGGAAAAATATCTTCGGGAAAGTTTTTGTCTTTTTTTTTTTTCCCCCCCCTAGCTGCAATGGAAGTTCATTCTAAACTCTTTGCAATATAATAGTAAGGTGCCTGGGAGGTAACACAGGCTGCCCATGTAGAGTTAAGCTAGTGGCAATATATCACAGCCATGATTGCCAGCTGGGGAGCCTATGAAACAACCCTGAAAAGTTCTTGTGTACTACAATCCAACTTCATTCAAAACACTGTAAAGATACCTCGCAAAACGCATCTTGTCTTTGGTTGTAAGTTTGAAAACCAGAGCAGTGGAGGTTTAATGTTATTATAAAGCTACATTCAATGGTAACAGTAAAGTTTTATCTACTCTAATTGAATAAATACAATTATCAACTATATTACTATATGCATTTTGAGCCAAATTTTTTATTGGCATAAATTGTGTGGTTCCATTGACTTTATTCCACCTGATGTTGTTCCTCTACCTTTTGCAGCCTTTGTTTTAATTCATTTAGAAGAGCAGTACAGGCCATGATAAACAACCTCTAAGGATATCAAACACATAAAATTTCCAGTAGAGCCATTGTTGGTCCAACAAATATTCCAGTAAAGGAATATTACGTAATAAAACCAAAAATAAGCAGCAGTTGTCTGCTTGGGAAATGTATTTTATTAGCCTGATATTTTTGTAGCTCCATGGGTTCACTAACAAAAGAACAAGACCACAAGGTCTGCAAAACAAGGGTCATTGCAGAGTTCCCAAAGGGAGAGCTAGAAGAGCTGATCTGGGAGAAAGTAATCCAAGTACTGGGAATGCCAAATGCGGTGTGGTTTCCATTGGCTGTAACGCGGGCACAGCACACTCATATAACGCTGCTACTCTTTACGGCACGGTAACGCTGCCGTCCCCGTTGGGAGGTGAGTTGTGCCGGACTCTGGTGGGCACAGGAGGCAGATGATGCAGGCAGCATAGACCGAGCTGTGACAGTGACAGTGACAGTGTCCTAAACAGCCGGAGGTGGCAGAAGAAGTGGTAGGGTTGTGGTTGTGTGGGTCTGGTGCACAAGTGGCTGTTTGATGTAGTCTGGATCTGTATCTATCCCTATTTTTAAAAAGCTCTACCAATGGTTACTTATTTTCTTTTTTTTTTTAATTTAAATGTGGTAGATGGAATCCTCAACTGCCTCTATTTAAAGAAACAAAAACAATTGTACTTTGCTGTCTGTGCTGCGCTGCCTTCCGGACTCATCTAAGTCTTTCCAAGGTCAACACATGGTTATTGATCTGGCACCCAGAATATCCCTTTGAATGGAAAAATCCTCCCCCATAGCTTCTGCTCCTGGTCACTCTTGCTCTGACTGTTGCAGTTTATGGGGACAGCAGCAGTCCAGATGTGACCTTTCTGGGTGACACTCCACTCTGAAGACAGCCTTTTGTGGGAAAACCTTGGGATCACTCGGCTTCTGTTGCTGCTGGTGCGGATTGTCTTGGTTCTTTCGAAAGGCTGAGATCAAGAAGTTGGGCAGGGCTGTGAATAATTGACTGCGAGTCTCGTCCCTCGGGCTGTTCCTTGCGTTTTCAGGACTGGCTGCCAGTTTATTTAGTGTATGGCATCACAAAGTGCCATGTATGCAGTGTATGACCATTGCAAAGACAGTGAATTAGATGTGCATCAGAGCCATTGCGCGTAGGTATCCATCTCCTTGACACATACAGCAGACACATCAAAGTGTGTGGACCTCCTGCATCTCAATTCTGCAGGATTTCCAGACAGTAAATTCAGACTGTCAAGGTTTTCAAGTCATGCCCAGAAGAGATTTGCAAACAAAAAAAGGACCTGTCCAGGAAAAGTTAGGTGTTCAATAGCCTGATCCTCGGAGTACAGAGCGTAGCATGCCAGCCCTACCCCTGGCTTCCCAAGTGTCAGGTCACTTCACGCTGCCACACTTCAGTCCGTGGTAGGACTCAGTGCCCAGGGACGAGGCCTGCTCGCAGCTGCCTGATGTACGTTATGAAGCATGCCCCATCCTCGCATCAGCTCTGCCTTCTTCCTTGCTCTAAAGCACCCGATAGCCTCGTTGTGCGTCACAGCCAGGTATTTTCCCCATTGTACAGCTGATAGGCTTGTTGTTTGGCAGCAGGTTGCATGGCAAGTGCACTGGAGGTCCCAGGCTGGGTTCTTTTTCGGTCACAGGTTTTCTGTGCAGCCTGTAGCAGCCCTTGACAGCGTCTTACCTTTCTAGTCTGTAACATGAGAATAAAGGTGTCTTGTGTTCTGAGGCTCATGTCACTGACAGCTGCAAAGCATGTTTATGTCTTAATTTGGAAAATGAGGACGTACAAAGTATTGTTATTTTAGTTGATTGAATCATTATAGTACAGTTTTCAGTTTATAAATCTTTTAAAGACTGTAAGCCTTGTAGCAACCTGTAAGAAAAGTGGATCCTCCCTGCTGCCTGTACCGTACCAACAGCACATATCTTCGCTAACATATTGATGATCATCATTTTCGTAAAGGAAAAATAAAACCACTGACATTTTGAAATACGGGTGATAAAAATACCTTAGAGTACAGATTTGGGGGTAAAGTATTAATCAAAGCTGTCTCATCTTTGGCTTTTCTGAATAAATGAGTTACTATTGCAGCATCCATGGTTTGGCATCAGTAAAGAGAAGCTGACCGGTGCTTATGTTCTGACATGTGCCATCCACATAATACCCATGGCAGGACCCCGGTAGCCCCATGCTGCGTAGGCAGTATTGTAAATTAAGATGCTGCCACGCCTGCTTGCATTTAATCCCCCAAAAATCAGTCTGCATGTAGCTTTTGGCTCCCAGGCCAGAGCTTGCTGGTCTGTGCTCCGAAACCAGGGCAGGGAGACATCAGTTACAGAAACTTATACTTGTGTGAAACATTTCACAGTGTAAATAGTGTCTCTTGGTCATGCCAGTTGATGCTGTGGGAAACAGATTCCTAAATATATCGTTCTATTCACTGGGGGAGCTGAACTGAGGAGGGAAAGGAGGAAATATAGGTCAGGTTAACAGAAAATGTAGTCTTTTGACAAAAGAAAGGTGTTTTCTTGGCTCCTAGCCCGAAACATGTTTATTAACCCTTTCCTTTTAATTTGGCTCAGTTCATAAGCAGAGTAGTTTACCTTAAAATGAAATTCTAAAATTTAGAAGTCATAGAATAAAACATCTTAGCTTTAAAAAAAATGAAGACATTTTTGTATTTGAAATTCTTTTTCTGACATTTACTGTTTGTAACAATCTTGAAGAGCTCTGCTTATCATGAGTTATTCAGCTGTTCCTTGTAATTGTGATAATACGATAATGATAAAATGAGTCCTTTTAAGTCAATTTTGCAAGGTCAGTAATTCTCCTTTCTAGCCAAGGCCATCTTGAACTTCTAAGATTAGGCACACAGCTTTCTGTTGTGTCTCAAGCAGGGAAGCAGCATGTGCTGCCTTGTTTTAGCATGAGATCTATAAATAAATCTGACATAGCTGAAAGGTATCATGTTTATCACTCATTTTACACACACACAAACTGAGCTGCTCTCTCAATGCTTATTTGCTCTGATCACACATGAGGGAGGAAAAAAAATTCTTGACAGGATTTTGTCTCATTTAGGGCTATTTGCATATAGTGATATACAGATAACAGTCTCTTAACATATATCACTTTTTCCTCCTAACTTCCCTTAGATAACGATGTTGAAGATGATCTTCAGCCACACATCATTTGAACACTGCAAGGGATTCTCCACCGAAGCCCAAAGCTCAGAACTGCACAAGGAATGCAATTTCTTCTTGACAGCTGTGCGTTTGGCCTCACTAAACCAGATACTGGATCCGTGGGTGTACCTGCTACTCAGAAAGATCCTCCTCCAGAAGTTCTGTCAAGCAGCCAACGCTGTCTCCAAGTGCTCCAACAATGAGTGGAAAGAGAGGTCAATCACCCTGTCAGAGGAAATCCGACGGACAACGGCATGAAGGGACGTTGATCCATTTGCATGGAAGCTACTTTTGCCAACGAGTAGTTTTAAATCTTACTGTGAATTGGGGTATCTGTAGCATGTTAGCATCTGCATAAATAGCTGAAAATGATATTACTGAGTGGACTTCTAGTGCCAAATAATTATTTATCCAATGTGCCAAAAATTCTCAAATACAGAAGAAGGAATTGGTTTTGTTTCTACATTCTGTTGTTATTGCCATTCATAACTCGGCTGCAGAACATGCTGTTTTGTGTGCCTAAAATAGAGTTTGGAGGGAATTTTCTTGTGTTAAGGTAGAAAAAATGGTTTTCCTCTCAGGGGACACTTGGAACAGTTTCAACAGATTAAATTACTGAAGAGACCCACTCCTATATATATTTTAATACTAAGATTATCTATTTCAGAGAGTCCTTCTTCCTCCTTTTTTCTGGAGGGACAAGGGGAGAAAGGGGCAAAAAATACAAGAATTAGAGGAAGACAAAATTAGGAGACTTTATTTGGATTTCAGTGGCTTAAAACTGAAAAGGTTGTGTTGTACCAATTATGGTACATCATTCTCTTCTGAGAACTGAAGGTAGCTCGAGTCTCATGACACATGGATTAGTCCTGATAAGTACTCCTTCTGCATGGGTGCTAAAGTAAGCTCATCTGCTGAGGAGGATGTAGCACTGCGACAAATAGCACAAGTGAGAAACCTGTGATTTTTTTTTTTTTAATAGCAGCCTGTGAAATACCCAGGCATAACAAGAATTGCTGTTTGCAAAGCACACTATAAAACTACTTTGAGCAGATGGAGAGAGTGATAAACAGGTTGTAAGAGACAGTAAATGTTCTTCTTCCTGTAGATTAATGGCAAAGGTTTACAAAGCTAAAAATACTGCTTTCATATGAGCTGTTTTAGTTGGAAATGCACATGGAATAAAATGAACATCAAATGATTTTTAAGTAATGAGGATGCCACTCAAAACTTCTTCATTACTAAAATGTCCTACAAAGTGGCCAAAATAGTACCCCAAAATAGTTCATTTCTTCTTTCCTCCAAAAAGACAAATTTGAGAGACATGGCAGCTTTGGAATTTTTAAAATAAAGCAGACTGGAAGAGGTGGGCAGAAGCGTGTGCGTTAGATCTTTCCCCCAGGTAACTTTCTGAGCTCTAATCCATTTGTGTCACATCTGAAGTTTGTCTTTACAAGGGCTACATTTTTTCCTCGTTTTCTTCACCCTTTTGTAGATGATAGCCTCTAATGTCTCCTGTTTCATGGCCTCTTGGGTGAAATTAGGTGCAAATACAATAAAATACAATGTATCATACAGTTGTACACCTTATACATATATGTTCCATACAGTATCGAATTCAGGGGCCTTAAAGGCAAATGTAATCCTGCATCTGCTAGGAATTTCTTGCACAGAACCTTTATTTTTACTTCTCTTCCTTTGTTTATAAAAGTGACTACTCAGAAACTGGCTACTCAGTTTTCTTGTTCTGCTACTGCGTTGTCTAATTGCTTATCTTTGTATCAGTCAAACAAAAATAATTAATCGGACAGCAGAAGCCACTGTCTCATAAATCTGATTTTATCTGCGTGGCGTTCCAGTGCAACCTAAAAGCTAATCTCTATCTTTAATTCAAGAGCCAGCCTAAAACCACAGAGAGGCACATTTTGTAAGGTACTGCCTTTCTTCTGCCAGTCTCATCATCTTCTTCAATTTAATGCAATAAATTCCTTTTTCAGTTACGGGTCGACTGCACCCTTCAGGCTGCGGGACCCCACGCTCGGAGCCGCGCGGCCCCGGCGAGCTGCTGCGCTGTGTGTGAGCCGGTGTTGAGTGTAACAGCTACACGTGGCTGCACGTCAACGGTGCTGCTAGCCCCAGTTCATTTACTGATCAGCACTTTGGGGAACACGGTGAAATAAAAACATTACTTCTTCTCTCTGAAAAAGTGCCTTGCAGGATTCATACTTCTTTAAAAAAATTACTTTGGAATATCAAAAGCCTGTTCTTCTGTGCAGAGGGTTCCTATTGTTCAGTTTATGTACATCAGCTTTTTAAAACAAATAAACAAACCCAGTCGCTTGTAAAATATGTCGGGATGACCTTAACAATTAGACTGAATCATTCTTTGTCAAGAAATTTCTGAGCAGCTGCACTTACAGAGCATGCAGCGGCTCTGGGATCGTAAGTGGGATAGCGAGGGAGAAGTTCTGCGAGGAAGGGTGAATCAATCCCCCTTTGATCAGCTCTTTTATAGCGGCAAGAGAACGCTGTTTTTTCCTGTACACAATCAAATACATGGTAATGAGAGAACAGCTCAAAGGTGACATTGCCTTAAGCCGGCTGTGGGAGGGGACCCTTGTTCAGTTCTAGAGTAACTGGACATGGGCTTGTTCTTCAGTGCCAGGGGTGGTTTCACTTTAGTTCACTTAAAATAATTATGTTACGCCATGCCTTTTCTTAGTGAAATAGGACACGCTTTTATATTTGGAAAAAGGCAGTTCTGTCCATCTTTGGGTGCGGTAATATGAAGAAGCTACTTTAAATATCAGAAAATGGGAAAGAATGTCTGCTTTTAATTTGTTTACAGAAAAGGAGTTTAAGCACTATTTGCCAGCCATGGCTGCTGTAACGGGATATGGCTGGAGGAACGCACTTTCAAAAATGAATTCAAAGAGTTTAGTGTAAATGAAGCTTTGTTTCCCATTTACTTGTTTGAGTGGTGTATTTTTGTTGCATTTCTTTAAAGATGCCTTGTATGTGATGTATTTAAATTCCACTACAATAGGATTTCTAATACTGGTTTTAATATGTTGTACTTTTGTCAAAGATGTTATGGGAACTGTAGTGTACGGAAAGACGATTTTGCGATCATTGTTTGCCTTAAAAACTAGCTTGTTTGTGTACCAAATCAATGTGTGTTGTATCAGTCAGAATAAAAGTTCAGCAGAATAACCAGTCTCCGTTTCCTTGATTGCTCTTGCCCGGACACAGCGTCACAGCAACTTCGAACACCCTGTTCGGAGCTGCAGGCGGAGGCGCAGCCCCTGGCTGGGAACGCTCCCCGAGCTAACGTGTGGTTTAGTAACAGGCCTTCCAATACATGGTTAAGTGAGTTTTGCAAAAGCACCACCTGCTGATACAGTGCAACAGGTCTGGACAGATTTTATCTGCACAGTCTTCCAGCTAGTGACCTTCCCACCGTGCTGCACGATGAGGAAGGCTGCTTCGGTTTGCTGCGTCAGTACAGGCTTTGCAGTTCCTAACTCGCTGCACGCCAAGCTCACGCCTCTCGAGTGCAGGAACAGAACTCTGTGCACCCCTGAATCTGAGACCCAGCTCAGCGTCTGAAGCGTTTCAGCCAAGCCCGTGTGCCAGAGCCCGCGTGGGTGACCGTCCGCAGCCCCTCTCGCCAAGGGGGTTCCCATTTTTTTTGCATTATTTTACTTTTTTTTTTTTAGCTTTTGTAATTTTAACACAAACTTTTTGAGCTTCTAAAGCAGATTTATACAGAAGAGCAGCGAAGCCACTAATGTGGCTGGAAGCATCGTTAGGACAGGCAAACCCAACCCACCACCACAACAGAATTCAGTGTGCTCCTCCGGCGAGCCAGTGAGATGACCTTCAGAAGAGAAACAGCAAATGACGATACGCAGTTTTCCCTTATTTCAAACGCCCTGCCTGTTCCCTTACTGCTCGACGGATTTATAGCCATTGCCATGCGGTGGTACCACGTTTCCGTGTGGACTGGCACCCCAGAGAAACGACCACACGCGGAGGAGAGATACCCAGCGAAGCTCATCTTCCAAATTACAGCTTTTCTTGGCTACTGCCCCGAAAGGAGATTCTCCTGGAAAAAGGAGTCCCTCGTAAAGGACGTACTGAAGCATCCCACGGGTGGGTGCCCAGGGCAGAAACCTGTTTATCGTGAAACCTCTCCTGCAGCTGGGGCAGAGCCTGAGCCACCCCGTGCAGGAGCTAATGTCAACAGTCACAAACCTCAGATACCCGAGAGATCCCCTGCTAATTGCCACATTTTCTAAACTAAAACTTAAGCCTCAGACAGCAAGAGTAACAAATCCCCAATTTTTTTTTTTTTTCCATTCACTTGAAGTTTGTAAATTAAATAATTCAGAATAGAACCTTCTTAGCATGCAGGGCCGGGGGCAGAGCTGGCTCTGTGACACCAGAAAGTCACCAGGGAACCCGCCGTGCTCGGCCTCTGGCTTAAAGCGTGAGTTTTTAAGCAGAATACAGAGAGAAGGAGCCTATTTCAAAGTCAGGGGGAGAAGAGGGCCGTGCAAAACGGGTATTGACTCATAACCAGCCCCGTTAGTCATGAAAACGTGGGTGAACGCGAGGGGGAAGCCCAGGGGAGCGGAGGGGCGATGTTGGGTCTCCACTGCTGCCTGGGGGCCGGCTTGGGGAGGCAGGCAGGGTGAGATCAGCCCGATGGCGAGGCACAAGGCAGATGCCGAAGACCGTGCCAGGAGACGGAGGTGGCAGCCGGTCTC